CAAAAATAGAAAGTAAGACAGTTTGCTGATTGTAATCTTCGTCTGGCTTGGAAGGGCGTTAAGACAATACTTGGAACAGAGGAGAAATGAGCAGAAATAAGTGTTGCAGATAACTAGAACTTTGCCAAAGAGTTGAATATGTTCTACGCTCGTTGAGACACTACAGACTTCAGTAAAGGAAAAGACTTGTTCAGAAATGCTTTATCGGATTGCGAAACGCTAGAAGTAACTACCTGTGATGAGCTACAGTCATTTTCTAAAATAAATGTCCGCAAAGCTACAGGTACTGATAATCTTTGCGGTATAGTGTTGAAAGATGTCGTGATCAACTCTGTCATATTTTCAACAACAAAAATTCTATCGATATGATATTTCTTTACTTTGGGGGACACCCAATGTTATTCCTGTTCCAAAAATTCCAAATCCTTTTGTTAATAATGATTACCGACCCGTTGCTTTGGCATCCATACCTATGAAATGCCTCGAACGTATTTTTAACAATGTACTTATTAGACAGACAGAATATTTACTTGACCCACGTCAGTTTGCCTACAGGGCCGGGAGAGGAGTAGAGGATGCCACTCTTACACTGTTAAACAATGTCTACAAATATCTTGAAACTTCCAATTCATTTGTACGAATCTTGTTTGTTGACGTCTCCTCTGCTTTTAATACCATACAGCCTCATCTGCTTATGCAAAAATCATCTAACATGTCTGTTAATTCAACAATCATTAAATGGATAGAATCTTTTCTTGTAAACAGACCACAGTTTGTGACTGGAAATGGTAATAAATCATTTGTGACCTTTAGATCTACGGGTGTCCCCGCAGGGTTGTGTGCTCTCTCCTGTTTTATTTTTTTTATACACACATGACTGTATCAGTAATTTTAACAATTGTTGAACCGTCAAGTTCGCAGATGACGTAGGGCTGGCCGGATTCATAAAACAATCTGAAATTGATTATCGCTCCCAAATTTCAAAATTCGTCCAATAGTGCAAGATTCATTCTCTATGTTAAAAAGGCAAAGGATATTATTATTGATTTCAGAGAAGCCCGAAATTCTGCCTGTTGTTATTGATAACGAAAACATTGAATTGGTTGAACAATATAGTATCTCGGCACCATTATTGATTCAAACTTTGGAATGCTAACACGGAAAATATTTATAAAGGTCTCACTGCGTCTTAGGTATTTTAAACTGGTTTGGGAGCCTGTCTGTTCAAGATAAATGTAAAATACATAAAAAATTTAAATACAGCAACCCCATCTCAGGTACCCAAATTCAAGACATCGACGACATTTATGAGCAGCAAATTATCATTAAAGTTTAATCTTGTTGTGATATAAATACACATATTTTAAAATGCTATTCATTATCGCCACTGTGATAGCGTTCAATTTTGTACATGTTTTTACTCGTTGTTATATTAGTGTACTATTTCCTTATGTACATATTTTCTTTTTCATATTTTAGTGCTTATCAACTGTGCAATATGAATTCCCCTTGGTATAATAAAGACTTATCTTATCGTTATGTAAGGTTAAGGATGTGTTAATATTACATTCTGAATACCAAATATATGGATCTACACTGATAAGTAACTACCGATTATATCGATGAAGACATGTAGAGATTATATGTAAATATCGACACTATTCAGTACAAAAAATAAATATGCTTGAAGACTTAATACAGATAAATAAATATCCATATTATAAACGCTGATGATCTGGATTAAATATCGTGGCTATGTATAGGTCAGACCACGAGGACCCAGTGTCTAATCGTTGGAATTGTTTATTAAACCACGAGGCGCGCAACCACTTACACCATGTCCAACATTTTAGCACCTAAAAAGCTTAAAAAACATTGTTTTGTTAAAGGTGTTTTGAAAGATATTCGGGAACTCTTTGCTCATCTCAGCGAACACTGTGTGAGTCGGCCCTGCGTGATGCACGTGAAATATGTTCCCCGAGCCTTTCGCACGTGCACCTCGCACTTTGCCGATTTTGGTTATGAAATGCATGTCCCGGGGCAAGTATACAGTTCATTGTGGACCAACTCGAGCATATTTATCAATCACTTAAATATTACATGCCCATGTTGATGGGCCTATTATGAGCAAACATAGCCCTGATCAAGATAATAGTAATTTCTTTTCTATCTGTTCGTTTCGTTGAACGGAGAGCTACCAAATCACAAGTACTGTACAAATACCAGAATGCCGAGAGTAACATACATACAAATTGCATAAAACACATTTCGCAGTTCATTAACGGATAAGCAAAAAGTCCTGATGTAAATAAATATCTATATGCTAATTTCATACAATTATTCCATGTCGCCGTGGCAGAAGACGACATTCGTTAGCCCTCCGAACGGACTTCGCGGGTTCGAATCCCGCTGGAGACGAACGATTTTCATGAAATTGTTCTATCATCAAGACAAATGATAGGGGGAAAAAGGTCCGTCATCGCCAACTGATGTTTAACTAACCGTTATCTGGGTACCGTTGTTGAAAACAACCTTAGCGCTTATACTGGCGTAAGTCTATGTTTAGGTATGGTAGTTACGATCACCTTAGCGCTAAGATCGCTTTGCAGAACCGCACCTGTTCAGACACAGCTGGCACGCGTAACCTTTGCACAGATTGACGTGAATTAGACAAAGGCTTTAATGGGGGTGCGTGGCGATTAAACGGTGGTCGACGCGTATGCTGTGTGTCTGGTCAGTGGACCGAAGATATAGAAAGGGAAATAATAATCAATGGCAGCTGTAGGTATACTGCAAGGCTCTTTCAATCCATAATGCTTATGGACACAATAAAGGTATATGGCTAATGTTGAAATCAGAGCTTAAGTACGAGATTACCACGCATTCTAGTTTTATGTTCCGATCAATCACAGCGCTAGGAGCATTACCATTTGTAACAAACACCCTGATAGTATGTGGGATGTAAACAACATATATCTGCTTCTATAATGGGTAAATCTTTAATTGATAGAGAATAAGACAATTTTATTTCCGAGATGAATCTGGACGGCTGTATATGTTTATATTGCCGTGGCTGACTTGTCATGCAAATTGTGTGAACGACAGGAGTACCAGTTGAGCATGATTACCCTTTTCGCGAACAATTCGTGTCATCACTGATTTGTATAGATCCATTCATAGAATTTTCACTGCTATTTTGCATTTAACGTCCAACTGAATCTGTATCGGTGGATAATCGAGGCTGGTTATTCGCTGGCCTTGACGTTTTATATTTACCCTTGATACCTTTATAAACAGTAAGCGGATAAGATCAGGGGAACACTCACACTATATCTGTGTTCCTATGGTCTCTGTTCCGTTGCTATCCTGTTTGGAAGGACTATTTATCATGATCTCCATTTGAAGGGGAAACATCCGATTTTTAAATTAATTTTCACGGATGGGTATTTTGTCCTCATCTTCTCGAACAATTTGAAAAAAAATCTTTTTTTGTTTTGTGTTTTTGTAGACGTAATAACTTTTCAGTGATACTTTAATACAATGGGTTCTATGCATATTCTCAATGTTTATAGCACTTTTCTTAAATGTGTTTTTCCATTGTGAACTCTACACGTGTTCAGCCAAGATTACCATGGTAACCCTGGTCCAACATCTTGCGGTTAGTCTCCTTGTTTTCCAATGGGACCAAACATCAAGAGCAATATGCTAATTCGGCAGCAAGAAACAAAAACTGGCACATACTTTTACAAGAAACGATATAAGAACAGTAGAAAGGTAGGAACTTCATCAAATTGTATGTACATCACTGTCTCTTGGCTTGTTGAAGCATCAAGCGCAGACATTGTTCTACTTCAAGTTCTTTTAACACGTGACACTACCATTTAATTGGCCTTGGGGTACTTTTATACATTTTAATATTTAAATGCGACTGTAGTGTTAGAGAGAGAACACACGTGTACTGTTGAGTTCCTAAGAGATCGTTTATATTTTAGTATCTGATCGTTAATCAAATTGCCATATAATCTTTCGTCAACTTCCGGTTTATATACGGCATTCCTTGTCAAACATTTGTTAGTAGCCGTTTCCTTATTGTTTAAATTATTGCTGGGATCTACACTGCCGAGCAAAAGAAAGTACACGCTTGAAAATTGGTTATGGCCCAAAAAATTACAAACGCTATCAAAACGTGTCTGGGCTGAAAATGGTCAGCGAAAGACTGCAAACTTAAAGTCCAAAACACAAGTGAACTATGATACCCGTATCAAATACATCACCATCGAATAACCATTTCTAATTTGTTTCATTTTAAGCCACCATCAAACAATGGATGTATACTCTCTGCCCGGCAGTGCTATACAAATATGCAATGCGTTATACAAGTAGGCCGCGTTGTGGCTTAGCTAAGAGCTCGTGCATACTCGCATGTGACTATTCTCAGAATGATTATAAGCAAAATGCATGAAGACTCCGGATGTAAGCAGTCACACACCCGAACTGATATCACAAACCGTTCTTTTTGAAACCACGTTATAAAAGGTCGGCGATATTCACCATATAAACAGCCATCGCAAAGAACAGACCAGTGTGTCCAAATCCTACTGCCAGAACTTACCCGTATCCTTTACGATGCCTCCAGTACCTTGTTTAACACAGGCCAGGTCAATTCCAAGACATAAACTGTGCCAAAGAGACATAAAACAAGCGTCCTTCCAGTACCTTGTTTAACACAGGCCAGGTCAATATCAAGAATTAACTCGCACCTAACGTACGTCAAAACAAGGACACATCCAGGACCTTCTTTAACACAGGCCACAATTCCAAGAGTTAACCTGTACCAAACAGAAACAAAACAAACGCACGATCGCAATAATACTCTTAATAGGCTATATCCCTTGACGGATTTAATCCTAACGTTGTTATCTCGTATTATTACTTCATAAATCCATAGGTAAGCAGAAATTAACACGCAACAACACGCCCCTAATCCACACACCACCTACCGTTTAGAAGTACCAGACGGCAAGACTCTCTGGATCCAGTAGTGACCCAATTAACAATCCAAGTTTCCCGTATCCATTTAGGTAGATCCGGGCTAATTCCTACGCCTGTGTTGACAAAAATTGTGTCAACTCCACGTCGGGAACCACACCGTGAGACCTCTACCGCGGTGACGTGTGACGATGACAGTGACAAGGCTGCACTGCAGCGAAAACCTCCGACCTGCTTAATCAATGACGGCGGCACCAACACACCTCTGTAGTGAAGCTTATAACTCCTGCCTCTCGTATTACCAGAGCGTCCTGAGACACAGGACGGTGGTCGGGGGTAGTGGGTTGTGGGGGTTTTGTTTACTTGCTTTGTTGCTGGGAATTATCGACATCTTTCAAGAGTATGAAACTGGTTGTTATTTTGAAGAATGCTTCCATAGTTCATTCAGTTCCATGAACCACCAGAGCGAGAGTCGCCATTTTATCGATTACGTTGGAACTGCGAAAGGAATCGATTTAAGCGCTGATTGTGACTATAAGACTGAAAGGGTTCCATTATTCAATAACGTTTAGTATCTTGTGATTGTTCGATGAAAGTTGGAGTTAAAAATGTGAATGAGGGAATATGGTTTGCCCCTAATTCAATAATATGGCTTTATCAATTTTATCATTTTATTTATCTTAACTCCTTACAGTGAAACGGCATCGCGTAATGTTTTTTAACATTGACTTTAGATGTATGTTATGCACAGAGAATAAACATATTCCCATGGTGCTAACGTGGCAACATGCATATGGCGACACACAAACCTGCGCATCATTAACTTACAGATATGCCTAGTCTGCCAATTATGTGACATAGGGGATGAATTTCACTATTTGTTCATGTTATTCGTTTGAAAGAGAGAGGGAACGGGGGCTTCATAATTACTCTAACAAATCTAAAATGTTAATAATGAATTTACTTTTTCATAGCCCAAGGTTATGACCATGAAAAACCTTTCTAGGTTGTTTAAAAAACTCAGGATAAAGTTCAAACCTGGAATTATATTTCATAAATCTTTGTACAAATCTGCAGAATTTAATTCCCTGATCCGACCGCTCGTAAGCGATATGTTTGACATTATGATATTGTTTTATGTATATGCATTTTTGTATAATCAATACTTGAATTGTACCTCTAATATCATTGCTAGCGAGCTGGGTGTAAATATAGTTCAGTTCAGTTCAGCATCTCAATTTGTTTTCAAATTGTGGTAAATGATAAACATGGCGGTAAGATAAATTCGTTGTAGGTTTATCCCTCGAGGAATACGGTTTGATTTACCAAATAGGCTCGGGGTAAAGTACCACACTGAGGGTACATCAAACCGTATTTCCCAATGGATCAGCCGATAGCATGTAAAGAACATTATATACAGGCATATAGCTCGGGTCAGTACCGTCCTGCCTATGCAAAGTTTAGATGCGGCGTCGCACCTACTGGACTGGTCACCGGGAGATAAACAACATATCCGTAGAAGAAGGCGTCTGTCCAGTCTGGACCAAGTGGAAGATGAAAAACATGTTATTATATACTGACCTTTTCATGAAGATTTACGGTAAGATTGATTGTTTGTTGTTTAACGCCGCACTCAATAATATTCCTGTCATATGATGGCGGTCTGTAAATAATCGAGTCTGGACCAGGCAATCCAGTGATTGGTATCATGAGCGTCGTTCCTCGCAATTGGGATACGATGACATGCATCAACCAAGTCAGCAAGCCTGACCACACGATCCCGTTAGTCGCCTCTTACGGCAAGCATTGGTTGCTGAAGACCTATTTTACCCTGGATCTTCACGGGTCTTACGATATGAACTTTTACAAGACGCCCAGTCTAATTGTACCGATTTTAATCTGCTGCCAGATCAAGAAAACTGTTCGGTGCTTTTTAAAGATTAGCGTTCGTCGTTACTGTGTGCCAAGACCTGTGTTAAAATCTTAAGACAACGCAGATGGACCCCATGCCAATAACCTGTTTTGGGCTGTATATTTACTATTGTAATTTATGTTTTACAGATTTAATGTTATTTTATTATCCATATTCTTGTTCAGTCCACTTTATGCCAATTATTTTGTATTGTGCACACGAAATTATCTGTGTATGTTTTTTAATGGACACAGTTTCTCATAATTCCTGTTTGGAATGGCATGTGTTTTTTTTTTATGTCAGTATATGATATACTCGAATATGGTTTTCTTAATATCTTGTAACACATGGTGAGATTCTAATAAATTGTCTGTGTGTCTGTGTGTCTGTCTGCAATATCGCGTCTGATTTACACCATTGACAGCAATTCTATTAACTGATGCAGCGCGTCTGGTTTACACCATCGACAGCAATACTATTAACGGATGCATCGCGTCTGATTTACACCATCGACAGCAATTCTATTAACTGATGCAGCGCGTCTGGTTTACACCATCGACAGCAATACTATTAACGGATGCATCGCGTCTTGTTTACACCATCGACAGCAATTCTATTAACGGATGCATCGCGTCTTGTTTACACCATCGACAGCAATTCTATTAACTGATGCATCGCGTCTGGTTTACACCAGCGACAGCAATTCTGTTTACTGATTCATCGCGTCTGGTTTACACATCGACAGCAATACTATTTACTGATGCATCGCGTCTGGTTTACACCATCGACAGCAATACTATTAACGGATGCATCGCGTCTTGTTTACACCATCGACAGCAATTCTATTTACGGATGCATCGCGTCTGGTTTACACCATCGACAGCAATTCTATTTACGGATGTATCGCGTCTTGTTTACACCATCGACAGCAATACTATTTACTGATGCATCGCGTCTGGTTTACACCATCGACAGCAATTCTATTTACTGATGCATCGCGTCTGGTTTACACCATCGACAGCAATTCTATTTACTGATGCATCGCTTCTGGTTTACACCATCGACAGCAATTCTATTTACTGATGCATTGCGTCTTGTTTACACCATCGACAGCAATTCTATTTACTGATGCATCGCGTCTGGTTTACACCATCGACAGCAATTCTATTTACTGATGCATCGCGTCTTGTTTACACCATCGACAGCAATTCTATTTACTGATGCATCGCGTCTTGTTTACACCATCGACAGCAATTCTATTTACTGATGCATCGCGTCTTGTTTACACCATCGACAGCAATTCTATTTACTGATGCATCGCGTCTGGTTTACACCATCGACATCAATTCTATTCAATGATGCATCGCGTCTGGTTTCTGGTTTCTCCCAAATCTTTCTTACATGTTCACAATCATATAACATATGGATTCTAGTCCGAGGTTGATTTGTACAGAAAGTACACATAGGAGAATCAACATATCCAATTTTATATAATTATTTGTTAATTGTAAGAATGTAGTGAATAATCAAAAACTGAAATCATCTTATAGCCTCACTTTGAGTGCATCTTTTTGCCATCATTATATGTTCTTGCCAAATCTTTTCACAAAATCTCTTATTTAGCATAGTTTCCCATTTTTCAATGCCATGAAATTAAACAAACTCCTGCGCTCATAAAGGCTTGTAAAATTCTTTGCTACCTATATTTTGGTTTAGCAGATGTGATATATTGAGTGGCATGGTTGGTCGAGGAGATATAGAATTGAAAACATTGTATTCCTTTACCTTACAAAATTGTTTGACTGCATTTACAACTCCATAATATTATATACACTTTGTTTGGACTCCATACATATGCACAAAAGCATTAATTACATAAAAGTTACCTTTGTCATCCACTAAATCCCCAATGAAGGTGACACCTCTACTTGACCAATGTTTATAAAAAAAAGTTTGGCCATTTCCTATTTGTATTCTATTATATTGATTGGTTCTATTCTATTCAATATTCTATTCATATAGATTGTCTCATAATATCTTGACCAGTTTCCAGTTTCTTTCAAGCTTCCAAAACAGCCTTCCAAAATAAATACATGGTATTTGGAGTAATAAATACATCAACAAGGGACGCATCTGCCAACCATAATCTCTCTCTATGTGGAATACAGCAAGCAACTAACTCCATTGTGAGTGATAACAATATAATCTTCTGATCCATGAAAGTTTTTGTGCTGCAATCACATCCTTTATAATTGGCATGTTAATTCCGCCATGTTTTGGGGGTTGAGACATTATTTGTCTTTTCACTTTATCCGGTTTTCCCTTCCATAAACATTTACAACATCTTTTCTGAAAAGTATCAATCACATCTTTTGGAAGGTTGAGTATTTCTCCCAATTTTTTCAAACTCTATTTTATAATCATCCTCTACAATGTTAATTTAATCAACATCAAAGTGTATTCCTAATAGCTTAAACTTTGTATTAGTCCAATCTGGATGCCAATCCTTACATAGTTTATATCGTGATTTTGAACCATTTTTGAACCAATCCAAATTAGTTTAGTTTTCTCCGCATTAACCTTAAGACCAGAAGATCTAGCAAAAAACTGCAATGTGTGCAATACAGCATAAAGGCCTTGTCTGTTCAAACCAAACTTAAAGATGTGTCATCTGCAAATTGTGACAGTAAGTGTTCAGTTTTTCCTATCTTAATTCCTTTTATTTTTGAATTATTTCTTATCATATTTGCCAACATTTCCGCAAAAAATATAAAAGTTTATGGCGACACTGGGTCACCTTGACGACAGCCTCTCAATATCTTAAAAAGCGACTCGCAAATCCATTAACTTGATTCCATGACATTAAAAAATGTTGACATCCATTTTTTAATACTTGGTCCAAATTCAAAGAATTAATGCATTAATGATGAAAATTCTATTTACCTATCAAAAGCTTTCTCGAAATCTAAAAAAACTCTTATAAATTTATTAATTCGCAATCTTCCTCGCTATACAGTTTTTGATAGAACTGTTTAGTTTCTGCTAGCAATTCGTCCTGTTATTACAGTTCCATCATTTTTATGTAATTCTTTAATATACTTATTTTAAAAAAATCGATATTCTAATTTTAAAACGTAACTACTAGGTTTTTCGCCGCGTATCCATTTCGCCTTTGATCTTATAAAAGCTCCTTCAGTCCTTAATTTATTTAATTCTTCCAATTCATTTATAATCTCATCAATATTTTCCTATAATTTCTTTCTTTTCTTCTTCAATGTTTCTTGAGTTAAATTTCAAGCTCATTGAGATCTGAAAATCTAGGCTTTTCTTCAGTCTGTTGTTTTCTCAGTTGATGAATAATAAATAGATTGTCCTCTTATGGCTAATAATAATATTTCCCATAATAATTGATCAACAATCAAATATTCCTCTTTTT